TGGAGCAACCCGAGGCACGCTTGGAGAATTGCTGGTGGCTAAACCCTCAAGTCCTGTTGAAGGCCTAGTGGCAACCAGCGATGAGGTAGATTTGGCTGCAGTCATGCTTGATTGACTAACACTGGAAGTAGGTTTCTCTGTGGCTTCACCGTCAGGCAGACCTGGAATGTTGTGAGTTATCATATGAGCATTAGTATTAACAGTATAAGTTTGTCCATGGTGTTGAAGTTTAATCTGAGATACAGGTCCCTTCACACTGGGTTTCATATACTTCACTAGTTGCAGTGCTTGTTCTCCCACAACTCTCACATATACAGGAGACCCTTGATTGTTGATGGCTGCCACAACTACAGTGGGAACACCGGGCTTTAAATTGGAATTTTGGAAGGTCTTCTTTGGGACCATTACACCCGTCCTTACAGGAGTTTGAGAGCCTTCCTTTTTAACATTATTTACAAGCTGATTGGCAAGATTTCTAACGGATGATATGTCAATTTTTCCTTTTTCAGTTCTGGTGTCTTTAAGAGCATTCCCTGAATGGACCTGTCCATCATTGTCAATGTACCCCATTACGTGCCCTGTGTGTGAGAGGAGGTAACGTCTCACACCAGATGGCTGAGAGCTTACTGCTGCTGCTGCTGCTTCAGCTTCTTCTTCTTCTTCTTCATCAACATCTTGTTCTTCTCTTTCCTTCTCCTCCTCTTCTCTCTTTCTTCTTTTCCTTACCCTCTCCTGTTCAGCTTCCTCAGAAGCCTGTATTGCAAGCTTTTCAAAGTCCAGGCCATCATAATTGATCATCTTTTTAACTTTGCGCACACGTCCACGAGAAGAAACAGCATAGGATTCTGAACTTTCCTCTGATGGTACTGTGCTAGTTTCAACTGGTGGAGTAACAGTTTCCGTTACCTGAGATACCGCTTGCCGCTTTACGCGTCTTTTCCTTAGTTTGCGCTTTGGGTTTCCTTCTTCTGTAAAGTGAAAATTTCAAGGTTAGAAAAATCATATTTATAAATAAATAAAGGAAGAAAGTAACTTACAATATTTTATATATTATAATAACCTTAAACAAAAAAGTAGGCAAAACCAGTCACAAAGGTTGTCTAGAAAATGTGATATATCTCAACTTTCTCTTCTATGTATGTATACCTTGAGACAGTTTTATCTATAACCTTACATGAAAATACACAATTTTGGCTCAAAGCATTAACAAAATGACTGGTACTACATATGGAACATTCTTTACAAGCAATGTATAAACTGGGAGAGAGTCTAGAGTCCTGTATAGTAAGCACTAACTCACACTAACTCAGCACTAACAGTGCATACAGTTGAGAGGTGAGACCAAAGAGCCAGAGTTCAACCCCCGCAAGCACAATTAAGTGAGTACAGTTGCAGTACTGGTCTATACAGTCAAAGCTAAATTCATTTCCATAAAGTGTTAATTTCTTTGACTGCTAGTTACACATTGTTAAGAAATACACAGTCCCGCTCCTGTGCCAGGTAAGTCCACTACGGGCTCACCATAGCCCGTGCTACTTGCCCCGCTCCTGTGCCAGGTAAGTCCACTACGGGCTCACCATAGCCCGTGCTACTTGCCCCGCTCCTGTGCCAGGTAAGTCCACTACGGGCTCACCATAGCCCGTGCTACTTGCCCCGCTCCTGTGCCAGGTAAGTCCACAATGGGCTCACCATAGCCCGTGCTACTTGGAACTTTTGTTCCGAGTAGCTGAATCTAAAACAACAACATTGTTAAGAATTTCCATTCTTGCTACTGCTATTTAATCTACATGTAACACACTACTGGTTTCATCACCCAGCAGTCAGTGTCACCTAAGTTATCAACCAATTATTATTGTTTCCTTTATTATTGTCCTTTTAATTTAAAGACTTACAAATTACCCCTTAAAAGATCTTACAAATTAAGAAGCTGCTGTTAAAAGGCATGAAACAAAAAATAAATTAATTGGCATATTATAAATTGCAATTTACATAACTGAATGTCATCAATAATGTATTGACATAGCATCTGTGTGTGCAACAGTGCATTCCCTCAATGATTAAAAAACTTTATAGCAGCCCATTCCCTCCAGTACTGTATACATGTCGCAACAACATAACAATGTCTAATGGGTGAAAGTGACAGGTGGTGTTAATGTAAACAGGAACGAACCTCATGGAGAGAACGACGGGTGCATGATCATAGGACAGCTGATACAGCTATAGAAGATGGGAGTACATCAGTTATTGACAAGTGTTGATGAAGAAATGCATATGTTAATGTTGATGAATAATCATGTGCAGAAATGATTAAATGTTCTAGAGTAAAAAGAAAAAAGAAAAAATGGAATGGGTGGAGAATTTGGCAGAAGGCACAGAATACCAGTCACGTACCAGAGAACGGAAAAGGGGCACCACATTTACTGCAAGCTTATATGCCACTTTATCTTGAGGTTATCTTGAGATGATTTCGGGGCTTTTAGTGTCCACGCGGCCCGGTCCTCGACCAGGCCTCCACCCCCAGGAAGCAGCCCATGACAGCTGACTAACACCCAGGTACCTATTTTACTGCTAGGTAACAGGGGCATAGGGTGAAAGAAACTCTGCCCATTGTTTCTCGCCGGCGCCTGGGATCGAACCCAGGACCACAGGATCACAAGTCCAGCGTGCTGTCCGCTCGGCCGACCGGCTCCCTATGTGTACTAGTTTCTTTGAGTTGACTCTCACAGATAACCAAATCGGTAGTTGCTAGTCACAAATCAGAGGGCATATATATATGTATCTCCACATTATTGAGAAAATCTTACAGCACACGAAACCACTGGTATAATCACATCCACAAACAATGATAATTAGTTTGTCTCACTGCTATCATGCAACCAGGATACTGAAAATTCTCTCATTGTGAGAGAATGGTCTCTCAGTTCCCCACAGTTGATTTCAACTGGCATATTGCACATGCAGTGAAGTTGCAAAATTAATCATTTTTGGCCCACAGTGCACAGGGCAAGTGCACAAAGCCTATCTCCCTTATTAGTAGACTAAAACCTAGCTTATTTGGTTTACAATGAGCCAAATAAAATTTGGCTCAAATAAAATTTTTTTATTCAATGACGATGACTGCATTTGCCTAGTAACACTCATGATAACTGCATTACACAGTACAACCCATCCTCCTGTTTAGATAGTACCTATTGTGACGTTCGTCAATAGTCAGAATTCGTACGTTCTGAGCTTTTAGATAATAGTACACTGACTAGTAAGGAATTCTTTGAAAATAAATAAAGCTAAAACACAAACTTAAATATTCCTAGGCCTAGTATAGCACACATGTACTATGTTAGGCCTCAGATATCATTTATTAGGCCTAAGGAGGTTAGGATAAGTTAGTTTAGTTTGTCAAAGCAACACAAGTAAAAAACCAGCATTGAATGTAATGAAACGCCATTTTCTGGGTGAGTCCCGGAGGCTCCCCGGAGCTATCCAGGCTGAATGGATATGTATAACTTTCTGGCATCAGTCAAAGTGCTAGGAGTTCTTGCCTACCGGGGACCACGAGCCAGAACCTAGCATTATCTACTAGGTAACATATGCAGTCATCGTAGAGAGCCGGCACGACTTCTACGATACTGACGATTGTAAAGATCAGCCATTCAGACCTTTTGCGAGTTATATTCCCATGTGCGTAATCTACTAAATACTATGTGTGGTTGTTGCAGAGAGAGAGAGAACACAACTTATACGAGACTGACGATTGTGAAGACCTGCCGTTGAGACCTTCTGCAAACTGTACGAACAAGTTAAGGTGTTAGTATGTGAGGTCGACATTACTGTAAGTACTGTACTCTGATTTACTGTATTATTGTCTACCTTCGTGCCAATTGCTAATCAGCCAAAGATTTACTCACCTCACTACACACCTGCAACAGGTGGAGGTTGAGTTTAGAGACAGACCAATGGGGGAACAAGTGATTATCTGTGCAGCACCACGCTGTTCAACCTGTCAGTGAATGTGTACTTTACACACACAACATATTTAGATGTTATGTTGATTGCCAGCTCGACAGGTCATTACTGTGTTGATTGTGCATGCCATTATATTGATTCACAAAGAAATCATGCAAATGTGATATATACCAATGAGAAAATCAATTGGGAGCATTGCAGTGATTCGAGCCAGCAATCAAGGTACTCCCAGAAGAGTACCTTACCCTTGTACTAGGTAACCAGTTATAATAGAAATCACACTAATATGATAATATATATATATACTGTATCAATGAGAAAATCAATTGTGATGATTTTTGTGTGTGTAATTCTGAAGCTGGAACTTATGTCTGATGAGCTACTTTACCTACACCAGAGTGCTTGGGGGAGGGGGGTTATATGTAAAACATGGACTGGCTTCAACAGAAGCATCTAAACTTGCTGTGGATTCAGTGGACTCCAAAGTTGTATAACTTACTACCCTGTTGTGGTACAAGGATAAGGTGCATGGCTGAGAGTACCCTGATTGCTAGTTCAAATCACCTCAGTGCTTCAATTGATTTTCTCATTATATTGATTACCCGAGTATCTTGAAGGAACTCCCGTGTTTCCCCTTGCTATATAGTCATAATGGCTTCGGCTTTCTCCTGATAATTACCTTACCTTACCTTATGTTGTAACTGGCAGTGTTAGGAAGCCGTGTTTGTGACTGGTTGTCCAAGACAGTGTTAAGACAGAATTGTCTATGAGTGAACTACATGATTGGTCAGTTGAGGGATCACAGTGTCTCTTTGATATGTTATTAGATTTGATGACACCAATCTTAAAAGTAACGTAAGCACCCATGTATTAGTACGCAAGTCCTACAAACAAGCTTTGTAAGTGTTACGATTGTGTTTGTGTAAAACCCTCATAAATACTATCTGCTAAATGAAGTGCCCTCAGCACAAACAGCACAAAGCTCTAATTTGTTAAACCTTCATTATACAAATATTGATAAGGACCCATTGGAAAGTGCTTTAGAGTGCCTCTCTTACACTGAAGTGACTCACACAACCAAAGTGATTCGGGACCATGTGAAGCCTGTCGATAGCGATTACCCCAGAGAAAGACCCTTACTGGACCTAGCACACCTTGGGCCTGGACACAATGCAAAAGTGGCATTGCATGCACTTGCAGTCAAGGTAAAGTAAAAATACACAAGCATACATAAAAAAAACGTACCGTCAAGAGATTCCTCACTGGAAGACGAGGAAGATGATGACTCCTGGGCCGCTGGAGTAGGTGGCTCGGGTTCTGGCTCGGGGTCACTCATCCAGGCTTCTTCTGCTGGGTCTACATAGAGCGCATCCCTATATCAACAAATAAACAAACATTAAACTGAATTAATATACATAACAGCATTATATTAAGAGAGCAGAAGAGATAATGCAATAAATACATACAGGGAAATCAAAATATATCGAGACTAAATATACTGTATAAATAAGAAAAAAATGTAGAATGCATCACAGTGCAACCTCACATATCAAGATTTCACTTTTTAACATTTAGGAATGATTTGGTTGAAAACTGTCTTGAGTACGTACTGTATATTTTTCAGTTATCCTAAATAAACAACAAATGCAACACAGTTGCACAATTGATTGGGTGGTGCCAGTGTGTCAGTCTTTTATTTTTAGATATATCTAACCAGAAGAAGGAGAGCCTATGTACTCACCTCTTTTCATAATCGTTCCATTCATGTCGTAGCTTTGTGCGTAGTCTTTTGGTAGCTCTAAGAAGTTTAGATTCCCATGGGCTCAACTCATTCAACAAATTGCAAAGCGCATAATGGAGTTTGACCTCACAGGATGGACGTTTCTTCCCTTCTTCCTGCAAAAATATTTTCTTTAGATTTAATGGAAAACTTACATGTAAGCCTTTTATATGCCACTAGAATTTGTACACATTGCAGACAAAGTGGTGAACAGTTGGAACAAGTTAAGTGAGAAGGTGGTGGAGGCCAAAACCATCAGTAGTTTCACAGCATTACATGACAAAAAGAGTACAGTACTGGGAAGTCAGGACACCACGAGTGTAGCTCTCATCCTAGAACAATAACAGTATGGTGGGAGGAGCAATGTTGGCGAGTAAGATGTTGGAGTGAGGGAGACTGGCTAGGTGTGGCTGCTCTCACTCGCAGTATTCTGAATGTGTTGATGGTAAATGTATATAGTGTGTGACAGTGTATAGTGTGCAAATAGATTGTATATATACATAAATTAGCATGATACATAGTAAATATGTGCAGCATACGTGTACACAAGTGTCATGCACGTAACACAGTGTCTTCGGATAGTACGGATGTTTTACTGCCATAATATAGTGTACGCGTTCATTATACACAGGATTAGCACATAAAAACAAATAAAAGGTATTTGGAACTGTGCGCAAAAAATTACCAAAAATATATTCGCTGCAACTCGCGCCCTACTGGCCCCGGGAGCATATGTCACAGGCGAACGGGGAATGATGACGTCATGCGCCAACTTACAGACCCCATAGCAGCCAAAGCAAGCACCATTTTGATTTTTTTTCATACCCATGCTGAGGGAAAGGTTTTTGACACTTTAAAAAATCAAAATAATTTTTTTCAGAGAATTTATTTCCTGCGCACTGGAGGTGTCATATTTGGAGGCAACGCAGTTAAGGGGTTAAGCATGTCTGTTGCTTATATATAACAAGTTTCAATAATTTAAATTACTTTCAAAGACCACCACGAAAAGACTGCAGGTTCTCTACCCAAGTTTCCTACTGTTTCCTACGACTATTTCAAACATTATTTGGTGCTAAAGGCAGTGTGACTGAAGAGAGAAATCAGATGTTGATTACATAGCCATTGCCTCAGAACCCTATGTTTACACTGGGGTACTATATTATTTACCATCTTTTTTTTTATATAAAAAGAAAAACCATTGCATGATTTGTCATCATTGCACATAGAGGAATACAGCTGTACTATATAAATTGTTTAATTTATTTTTGCCAATTGACTGTCCTGGTCAGGGACTGGGCTGAGGGGACATTGATCCCCGGAACCTTCAACGAAATTAAAGGCTGCAAGATTATGTTTATGCACAGCTGCATGGAAATTGTATCCGTCTTGTGAGCTTTCCCATTGTCAAGAAATTGGAGTACAAAAATGCCCAAACTAACCAGAGGCCTCACAAACAGAAAACATGACATTATGTCTATTTTGCAAGCTGCTACCATTTTCTTGTACACAGGTTCTTGGCCTTAGGTAGTGTGTGTGTCAAAATGTGACGAGCACACAAGTTCTTGGCCCTCGGTAGTGTATACGTCAAAATGTGACGAGTACACAAGATTTTGGTCCTCGGTAGTGTAGACGTCAAAATGTGACGAGTACACAAGTTCTTGGCCCTCGGTAGTGTATACGTCAAAATGTGACAAGTACAAAAGATTTTGGCCCTCGGTAGTGTATACGTCAAAGTGTGACGTGTACACAAGTTCTTGACCCTCGGTAGTGTACAAGTCAAAATGTGACGTGTACACAAGTTCTTGACCCTCGGTTGTGTATATGTCAAAATGTGATGTGCTATAGAGAGAGAACAGATTGCTTATCCACCCAGCTGGAAAAGCGTGTCCAGGTTAATAAGGAACCACGAGGTACAGCCAAATATACAATACAGTTTATACAGTAATATTGAAGTACACAATATTATTCACAGCTTACCTTTGTTTTTTTTTGGCTATTTTTATCTTCATCTTCAACTGAACCTTCTGGCAGGTCTCCAAACTTTTGAATTAGTGCCCGTAACTGTTCAACAGATGAGACCACCAGCTCAAAGTCTTCCAACCGAGGAAGATACGGAGATGGGTCATAAATGGGTGGAAGTTCCTTAGGAGGTGAAGGGGATTTAAGAGGATCCTCCTCGTCACTATCCTCTTTTTGCTCATTTTTCTCGTCTATCTGCTGCTCTTTCTCCTCTTCCTTCAAAAGTCCATTACATGTAGATTTCTGATTTTCCCCTTTATTGCATTCCTCAACTTTAATAAGATCTTCCATTTTAACATTTTTAGAATCGATTTCCAACTCTTTTTCATCATTCATTTCTCTCTTTATCTCATTTGTCAATGGAACTCTAAACTTAACATTATCGTCTTTGTTATCACTCGGTTCGTCTTTTATCTCCCCATTTATTAGAGATTCCGTCCTCAGATCACTAACCTTCCCATCACTGCTTTTTCCCAGTTGTGTCTTAACCTCAGATTCACACTCACCATTCTCAACAACACAATTCTCTTTCTCACTACTAAGTCTATCAGCACCATTATCAGTTCTGGTTTCAAGAGTCTCTCTCTCACCATCACTAGTTTTTGCTATTTCAAGAGTTTCTCTAGCACCATCACCAGTTTTTGTCATTTCAAGAGTTTCTCTCTCGCCTTCAATAGTTTTTGATTTTTGATTTGTCACAGGAATGTCATCTGCACTGACTGCCAGTCTTTGCTGAAAGACAACATATTACAAACAATTAATATTTAAGCAATTATACTGTAATACAATAATAAAACATCTGCCATAATCCATGCCAGTAAAAAAACATTTGTCAAGTTCAACACCCACACGGAGAGGGAACGAAATAAATCTCCCTGGTTGAGGCAATGGACCACAGGGGTGCGAGACACTAGACTGATGTATATATGCTACATACAAAAACCCAAAGAATACAAAATTCTAAGGGTAAGAAAACCCATTAATCTGAGAGCATGACGCTAATTGTGCACCCTGGCTGCACCAGATGGGTAAATAAGGCGAGAGCAAGATCCATCACGACTGGGGCATTGACCCTGCAACAATAATTGCCTTATTTCCTCAAGAATACTAATTTCCTTTCAAGCAGTTGCTAGTTTTGATGCAGTATGACTTTCTGGATTTTGTTTTCCTCAGTTTTGGGTTCATCTCTGACCCTCAAGCAACAATGGCCACATAGTGAGACCCAGATTCTGGCTCAAAGTAACAATCATCTTAAGGGATCTACCCAGAAGACCCTCACAAAATATGTCTTCTTATGACTATCATATAACATGCACTTACACAATCATTAAAAATATTTAAGAAATTATTTTTAAAACACCTTCCACTTTAACACGTGTAACTTCTAAATTTAATGATTTGCTGGTACAGTACTATATTATGGGTGCACGTTTATCCAACACTGCAAGGCCTAGAGGTATTTCAGGGTATAAGTGGCTAATAACCAGAGACGAGTTGAGAATGATGACCTTACCAATGCAAGGTTTAAGAATTTTAGGAAAATTAATCAAATATTACAAATTGCTACACCAAAAACAGAGACTAACCTTTTCCTTAGTGTGAACAGCTCGGTGTCCCTTCAAGGCTGCAATATTCTGGAATGTTTTGCCACAAAGCTCACACGTTGGTTTCTGAAAAGTTCCATTGAAAATATAATACCCCAGAGTACATCAATTAAAACAATGCACATGCCAGCAGTATTAGAAAGAAAGCCAAGTGAGTGTGTATACAACTATAACAAAAATCCTACTTGGCAAATACACTATTGTATAGAAAATTAAAAATATATTAGTAAATGATAAATTCCAAGAAAATTTGAACTAAATCACAATTGTCAAAGTAAATTTTGTACTAGATCTGCAGGATGTGATCACAATTCCATTATGCTAATTATTTGCATCTGACCACTTTTGCTAGTGTTGTCAAATACAAGAGCCCCCTAGCATAAGAACCATAATAAGGCATGGAGCCTTATTGTGGCTACACCGAATATACAATTGACTGCGCAAAGGATGCTTCTCGGGGTTCATCCTCGGAGGAAGGTTAGTCCTAAAAGTGAGGATGGTCCAGCACTGTAATTTAAATGAAGTACAGTAGTAGTGAAACACGTATGATATTTGCAGTGTAAACGCAGAAACATCAGTCGACTAATGGGTGATCGAATAAGCTCAGAGAAAGTTGATGTCTCACTTTATCTTGCTGTATTGAACGAGCTACATCCACTACATAAAAAACAAAAGGGTTTGAAGACACTTTGCTCAGTGAATCATGATTAGGAACATTTACACAACTCAATGATTTGCTTACCACTGGCAACTGCTATTTAAGCATGCTACAGCCCCAAGGTCAGGAATAAACAGGACAGTCCTTTGCACAGATAGCGGAAAAATTATTAATAATGATAAACACATCAAAATTTTGTAGATCTTGAACCACAGCATCTCTGAAGAGATACGTAACAAACAAGGCAGTGGACATCAATATTGTGTCTAATAAATAAGTACTGTACAGTGAGACCTCGACTTACGACCTGTCTCTGGGAACAGATAAAATTCCTAAGTCGAGGCCCCACTGTACACAGTCGAGAATACCCACACTACTCGCTCGCTCACTCGAGTGCGACTGGATTTTTTTTTTAGCTAGCTGCCTGGTAATAGGATACTACTGTAACACCAACAAAGGACTTACAACTTTAGGGGTTGTTATATGGCAGTCACATTCAAATTATTTGCTCTGAACCAAAACAAGCTTGTACCAATTGGCAATGTGTGACAAATTTTGTTCCACCATTTCCACCATCATACCCATAAAAAATGGCACAATTAATTCATACACATACTCTGGTTCCTACATAAAACTTGATGGAGAATTTAACACAATTCAATAGTACCACTACCAAGATATGAATGGTGGCAATAGACAAATGAAGAAATAAACAAAGCAAACTTAATAAACATTAAGTGTCCTATACTATAGGAGGTTTGAGATGTTTAGAGGCAGGAAACATTACAAGCTCCTTCAACATTCCGTAGTTTCTTGTCTAAGTAGACAACATTACAAATGTTGCCACTAAAGAAATCTGGGAGAGTAAGACTCAGAGATCCAACAGATAACTCCACAGGCCCACATGTATCCATCTATTTCTGGGGAGGATTTTTCTTGAGAATCTATCTAACGTCATAGATTTTCATAGACGCAAGGCAGTACATACAAATTGGAAGATATGACTGAAATTTTAGTGAATTTCTTTTAAAAGCATTACAACTGTTTAAAGAGCCTGCCATAGTTCCTATCTCAAAATAAATTTAATATTATGAAAAACTGAAGTCACTCATAATTCCATTAAACTTGATCTACGGACATCAATTTTACCATGAGGAAATATTACTTTATAAAATAAGGAAACTTTCCTTATTAAGACTACTCATAGTCCAGTTGATAGAGCTTCGGCATCACATGCGTAGGGGTCCACAGTTTACGACTCCTACAGCCCAGGTGAATGGAAATATTACTTTAATGTAACAGAAGTGAATGAGAGGTGTACACTAACCTTTTTCCCTCCCTTTTTGGCCCTAGGATTTTTTTGCTGAGCTCGGGTGAGGGCTTCTTGTTGCGAAGGCGCAGAACTGTTACTGCCAACTTCTTCATCCTCTTCACCATCCGCTGCTAATGGTGTACTAGGAGCTCTTTCATTTCCTCTCTCCGAGTCGCTTTCACTAGAAGAATCAATCACCGACACCCACGATTTTTTCCCTCTCGATTTGGTTTTAACTTCCTCATCCGAGGACAAATCTAAGTCGTCAAACTGGTCATTATATCTAGCTCTTGGGCGTTGTCTCAAATTGCCAGGTCTGCTTCGACTGTTAAGACCAACTTCCTCTTCTGGATCAACGGCTCGACCTCGACCTCTGCCTCTTTTTCTTTTTCTTTTTTTCCCTCTCGCACCTTCCCATTCTGCTTCCTCTTCATATTTCTGTTGACAGTAACAAAAGATTAAAACTAGATCAGTTTTATTACATTCAACTAGGAGTTATTCCTGGTCCCTTAGCCAAGAATAAGCACGCAAGTAACACAATATTATGAAAAACTTATAAAAACACAGAATTTGTTCTTTTAATGATAAAAGCAATGGGAAACACACTTAAAATGCAGTTACCCCTAATCTCTCCTCAGGAGAGAATGTGGACGAGATAGACTTGTGGCATCGGAGTAGGAATGGAGGATAGGTTACTTACCAGGAAGGAGAGGAGACAAGTACCAAGATGAAGGAGAGAATCCTGGCCAGGAGAGACAGCTCAAAGCAACACATCCAACTTGGGCTAGAAATGCTAACCAAATGCCAGGCTGCCAGAACCCTGTTAAAACTACCAAAACCCCCAATCCTGAATATCAACCCAGGACATGTAGGAAATGGTCCCTGTTAAGGCAGCATACTTACAAACATTGCTGGTCTGAGGAACGACCTTAGGCCAGCTAGACTTAGTGACAATGAGGATGACATGGAAAATGTGGGCCTTGGAACAGGGTCAACCAACAACAAACCAAATGAGGCAGAACAGGTGGCCTGCAGGTAGCGGTAAAAAGCCGCCACTGGACACACCAAATTATGTACGCCCAGCTAGACCAACCAAGCACCAACCACCAAGGGACCCGTCTGGAAGCTAGCACACTCATTCCTCACCAGAAAAGGATAAGACTGCAAACATGCAAAATGTTAACCATGGTCAAAGAAGCAAAACTCATGACTATGAAGAAGAAAAAGAAGCTCTCTTGCTGCTGGAGGCGAGAGCAAACAAAACATCATATTAAGAAAAATTCAACACAGTAAAAATGTCTTGGGGGCATGACACAATGAGCCCGAAGTTGGTGTGAGTGCTTTTACCTGGTGAGAATTGGAATAATGGCCAGGGGCCACATTAACGAAGCAGTTACGCAAACACTTACGAACCTACCTGTATATCTTTTCTCAATCTTTGGTGGCTTTTTTACAATTATTGAACAGTTAACGAGTTCTGAATCACCGGGATGCTTACAACAATAACAACAGTTTATTGGGAAATTTTCATGCTTGTAAACTGATTAATAAATGTATCTCTTATGACTTACTTCCAGAATTTGAACTCTTAAGGAGTTGAACTCTTATGGCATACTTCCAGGAGTTAAGTGCACTATCCACATTATACAACCAATTTGTTAGACAGATGAAACTTGGTTGCCACACCAAGGACCCAATTAAGGTTAGGATGAACCACCAAGATTCCTTACCTAATTTAAACACCATTCCTGCAGGTGCTCAAGCATGAACAATGTGACTGTACCATGCCTTCACACTTGAAGCAATCAATGAATTTTAAAAAACATAAAACAACATTTAGAAATACTATACACAAGAGTTCTCTAAGAATTTGAGCCTCTAACCTACAACCCTGAATTGTTGCATTATTTAGTGCACAATTACAAGCGGATGTATCCAAAGCGGGTATGGAATTGTATGGCTTTCCACAACTGCAGCTCAGGTCTAGTTGGCCCAGCAGGTTTCCATGTAGAAAATAGTGTGCCTAACTCCTGGCTACAAATCAGGGGTTCATATCCTCAAAGAATTTGCATATTACAAATGTGGATTCAACAAGAAACAATTTCATACATACATGTCTAAACTTTTTCATCATTTTCCTATGTTCTTTAATTTTTTCTGGTGGTAAAACGCACCCTTCGTCAGTTTCTTCCTCTTGACGAGAAATCTCAGGAGACGGTACTCGTGCACTTCTGTATATCCTAAGATCCTGCCCACAAAACTGTGGGAAATGAAGGTAGTCATTACCATCACGGTCCTGGCCTAGGTGATATGCCCGTTGGTCTGACTCCGTCTGCTCCGATATAACTTCTTGTACGGTCTTGTGGTTGTGCTGCAGAGAGGGGAGGGAAAAAAGAAAAAACAAATAGTTTCAGTGTGATGGAGATTTAATACTGCCCAAGTGTTATACACATTATATCTACCTCATTTGAAATTCAACCTTAATTTTGTTCTGCTAATAATGTACTGAATTACACTATGTATACTGTACATTCGTTCCTTGCCATATGCAGAAAAGGGACTAAGGACTAACCAGAAGAAAGTCGCAGAGGGACTTGAGCAGCCACACACGCTGGTGATATGTCATCTCGTGGAAAAGTTGGCGATCAAACGGGTTTGTATGGCCACACACACACCAAAACTGAGGCTCAATACCCATCTGGTCAAACACCTGTCATCAATACAAATTACAAAACAATAGAATTTATTAGGAATATACATGTTGAAATATTATCATAAAACTGGTCAGATTTAAAATCACATGAAGGCAACCGAGACACATACCCCTGAGCCAGCATAGCTCGGAATATAACCAAAGTGGTATCAAGGACACACACTGATGTATCGAGCCAAATGACCTTGAGCATAGGGTGGTTGAGTTTGTAGTGGCATTGTGGTAATGCTATTAGTATCCATAGTGATGATTATGATATTTGACATGCCTACTAGATTTTAATATGTGCCATGCTAATTACATCCCTATATAATTAGCAAACTAGGTATAAAAGTCAAAGGTGGGAAATAAATAAGGGGTTGATCAAGTAGGAGTGACTGAAGAGGGGAGCCGAACTTTTAGTAGTGGTTCATGTGATGCTAATAGTGGTAATTGTAGCATTTGTTGTTCCGATTATTTTTTGCTCAAATTGGCAGTTGTGATGAACCTTCAAGTTCAGTACCTGCTAATGCTTCACACAGTTTGGCAGCGAGACTGGTTGCCGAGATTGTCATTACTGAACACTAATTTTTTTCACTCAATGATAGGGTCATGTAAAAATTTCTAGGCCTGTGCTTTGTGGAACATGTTTTTCTCAGAACTGTACAAGTGGAGTGGTACTGGGCATCTAACAAGCTTAGAGTTGTTTTTTGTCGCTATCACGAAGGGTGATATTTGATTCTACCACTAACTGCTGGTAGCATTGACGGGGTCCTGGAGCTTGTGTCAAAAGTAAGAGCCGGTAAGATATTACACAAATGTTATAAGTTTCTTAGGTACACGGGCTTGGCTCGCTTATCGTGTTCGACACATTTTTGTGCATCAATCACTACTATTTATTGCACCAATATGGTTCATAAGGTAAGGTAAGGTAATTATCAAAAGAAGGCACCAAACCGGGAAGGCTATGTAGCACCATCAAAGTGCGAAATAATCAGAGGGTGCTAAATATCACCAAGAAAGCCAATACGAGAACAAAAACGCATAAGGCGAACGATATCAAAAGTATCTGATTCACCTAGAATTCTATCGAGGGACAAGTGACCGCGAGGGACGGTCGGAAAGCAAGACACACACTCGTCCTGGAAGTCAGGACATTCAACAAGGATATATGGTTCATAATTCATAGTTTTTTCACTAAACATACATTTCAGTGTGCTGTGGCTATTGTTGCTTACTTTTACCCCACCATGTAAACCCATCTCATCATTCTCGGATCCATTATAACATAGTTCCACTTAACCCTTAATATGATTCAGGTGCTCATAATAGTGATTCTGCACCTTCTTAGTATAATACAAACCTCGCTCTCGAAAATATTAACAAAAATGATTTACTTGATCAGAAGGAACATATGCAATCAACACAACAATCCTATCTCTAAAACCCTAATTACTACATACCACTTTGAATAGTACCATTTATTGCCCTCTGAGAGAAAGCAGAGAGAAAGCCTCTGCTTTCTCCTCTTATTCTCCTGCTCTTACAATACCGCACTTCCTCTTGAGCTTTATCTATAACTCATTAAACATTCCCACATAAAAAGGTTTTGATTTTTCCATCCTCTTTGGATCTTTAGTTATTTCCTTCACATTCTAAGCAGCCACATAAGCCTGCCTTAGTTTCCTCTTGTTCAAGTAAGAGCGAGTCATGGTTCTGATGCTGCCTTGCCTTTCTTGAGCAGGAAATCAGGAAGATGGGGTCACCAGGCCAAGTTTCTGGCCCATCCATCGCAGAGAATTCAGTGTGCTGGTGGACAATGGGCTTGCCACATGTCTTCACAAGTAATGCACAATACAGTAATTGACCTACACATGTAATTGATCTAAATAACTAGACTCAGGAGTGCAACAAATACAAATGGTAAATTAGGCACAAAATGTCAAGTGATGATGAAAGTTCCAGTGTCTCCCCTCACCCACTGACAATGTGAAAGTTCTAGTGTCTCCCTTCTCATATTTGACGAGGTTCTGTGAACAGCAAAATACAGTACAGTATTGTACTATAGCAAAAATGTCCAGTTTAGACCAGGTGTTCTTTGACATTACCAGAATAAATGCTGGACTCAATAAAGATGGATATTGTTAACAAATGGTGAACGCACTGGCGATAAACACCACATATGGTAGACAAGCACAATTACAAGAGGGTAATTCCTAAATTAATGCAATCAAGACAAAAATCGTGTTCACGTACCTTTTTTGGATCTCGATTTTCCCGGTAATAGCACCTATACCACAAGAGTGTTTTATGAGCTAGTTTTCGGGCCCAAATGTTATAGGGCATATATGGTTTTTCATTTAATTTTTGCCGTTGCTGAGGTGATGAGAGTAATGAAGTGAGAAGCATGGCCAAAGTGCGGGAAGCACGAGGCATCAACAACATGCGCTCCAATTCATATTGTGGTACTTCATAGATGTTCAGAGTCTTCAAAGTTAAGAAGATAAAATGCCCTATCTGTGGTAGCTGGAAAATAAAGAATTTCATTTTTAAATTTCACCTTAATAATCTTGTTTTAACAAATAAAAAATTATTTAAAATATGACATTACAAATTTCAAACAAAATTTGACTAGAGAAAGGATGACACCTTGTTTGTTTTGAAGTTACAATTTCCAAACAAATACTGTGCTTTGGGGAAAAAGAGGATTCACATTCTAATATTAATGCCTGCCATGGTAATCTGGTACTTATTTTGAAATATAAGTACTGTCCTGTACCTAATACCAAGATTTATCATGCATAATCAGCATTAAGGTTAACTTATCTAAATTTCTTGTTCCTGATGGTACGTGCCTCCTATGGATATCATACAGACAAGCAAACTAGCTTATCATGCATAACACACTCCTACTCATCTTAGCACTACACAGCATATCACTGATCATTAGTAGAGTTCGATTCAAGTGAAAAAACAAGAATAGGGAGTTCAGTGGAGTGAAGTACTCTCATCCAAGCCAGTGCCTTAGATGCTGCCAGCTGCCACCTGCAACTCTCATCAACTGCTATACTCTTCATTGACCTTGTCCCCACCCTGACAAGTATCATTGCAAATGGTCTAGTCAAGCAAATTAGGGGAGTAAAACATACCGTGTAAGTGATAAATAACATTACAACAACAGACAGTGATCACTCCGCTAACTGATGGTCAAGAAATGACCGAGCTGGCAGTGTCATTTTTAGCCGAGATCACTCTAGGAAAGAAGATAAAATAAGTGAGGGAAAGGGAGCATGTTAGAGATCAGCTCATAAATGAGTACTTCCCTACACTCAACACCCAATTTCTGAGCTAAGACTCTAACTCCTCAATCTACAGTAATAAGAAAAAAAGAGTGGGCACTTACCCGAGCTGAAGAAATGAATAAAAGCTCCGATTCCTCTCCCATTCTCTGGTAGAATGGAAGTGGAACAAGAGCAGATACCATTCCCAATCACCCTCCAGCAGCAGATGGATAAGAAGTGACCCCTTGGCTATATAGCACCCACTGCGGACAAGGCACATGCGAGACAAAGAAAACGGCGAGACCTAAAACTAAGGAACATCTTCCAGAATCCATGGACCCTGGTGTCCATACACTACAAAAGGGAAACAAAACAAAAAAGCAATAAATGTAATGTAGTAAACAGATTATATGCATAGGGGAAAGCATGTATGGGGATTTCAAAAGAGCAGCAGCAGCAGCAGGGCAACGCGACCACAAGACAGAGTATGATGGATATAAGGCACAACGAATCAGGCCAGGAGGAGAAACCAAGACAAAATGCAGGCAAATCATACCTGGGTAAGAATGAAGGAGGTTACAGTTGCATAGGCTTGTTACCATGACTGAATGGCAATATTTCCAGCTGTGTTGGCATCCCTCGGTAGCTTCTCTCAGCTTACCACACCAGGATGTATAGGACAATAGTGAAAATGGCAGGTTCCTGGTGGCAAACTCAGCACGCTGGTGAAAAGCACCATCGTCGCATGCTCCTTCATCACAGCTGGGAAAATAGTGGGGATCAAAGATCAACCCGCTACTGAGGTCAACTGACAATAAAGGAAGCACTTCAAAACTAGACTCAGAGAAAACGTTTGGACATCTCCAATTGCCAAACAACTCTCTAAACTAATCTCTACAAAGCTGATTGCCTTGAATGTCACCATATGATGACTAAAGCTACCAATGATTCAGAACGAGCCAACCCTTCCACACTCAAGTCGCAGTGAAAATTTTACCCATGAAAACGGACTCCAGGGTGGGAACAGCTACCAAGATGTGACCCAGAAAAAGTTTAATTTTAATTACTTTAAATACATTATTTCTGGACTGGCACTCCTTGGCAGCCTCTCTCAGCTTACTCACCACAGTGCCTAAAATGGACTAACCACATAAGAACAAGAAAGGGCTCTTATGAGTGTGCAACGGCAGACCAAGGAATGTATTCACAGGTATGGACTGAGGACCAGAGAGACACACAAACTTCCTGACGGCACACACGTGCTTCATAGACATGGCACTGTAGGTGGGAAATGGCTGCAAGGAACTCGAGAACACCAAAGCTCCATATTGAAGAGAAAACAGCATACAAGAAGAGAACAGCCAGTGCCACAGCAAAGGCAGGAGCAGGAACCATAGAGAGAGCCAACAGGTACACCCAAGGAAACCACACTGCAGATGAAGAGCGACTAACTAGTCAAAGTCAGGAATCAGGGCATGAAGAAGGAATAAGGAAGGAGAACCAAGCAGAAAAGCCACCTGGAGGCCTTAAAATTTAATACAAATCAGAAAAAGCAACGGGTGAGAGGAACCCAGGGCACAGGAACCCTGCCTCAAGGAAAAAAGGGCCCTGACAAAGTCAAAACATGCACTGCTAGTCTGACATGAAATGGGTGAAATGAGAGTAATAAAACGAATTGCCAGACCAAACACAAGAGTCTCCAGTGCCACCACCATTTGTTCTTTTACCAACAACTTTTAAATGTAACCTCTTGATTCCAATCTTCCTGCTTTGCTAATTCATTACAATGATTTGAATTAAATCATTATTCCCAATCTTTTGCCCACCTACACTATTTTGTTTCTATGTCTATTAGACACGAGATGTTAATCTAACTCTTTACTTACTGAACTTTCTCAGGCATATGTAATGGTACTAAACCACGAGAACAGGAGTAAACAGCATGCTTACCTCCCACATAGCTCTCATATGAGTGTGAATTGGCTCCCGTATCAGGTCTTTTTCCCATTCTACGACCTCTTGCTCACGATCTCGCTTGGCCTGTCGCATGGCCTCCATTCTTCTTTTCTTCAGTTCTTTATCCCGCTGAACCCTGCATCCACGGACACGATACAAAACATACGAGAAAAAATTGTCACCTGTATGTAAAAAAAAAAAAAAAAAAAAATATATTTACCATCACAACTAGACCATATTTTATTATTCAATGATGTTTGAAAAATTCAAACATCTAATTGTTATGATAATTGTTTTCCACTTAAATATTTAAAAGGCTTTCTCAATTTCCATCTTCCTTCCTTATACCTTACCCCTCACTACCCTGCATTATTACTATAATCCACACCAACCCTCATATTAAAATATCAAACTGTCACAATACAACCTGTCCTCTTAAATACTTTACGGGCTCACCATAGCTCGTGCTACTTGGAACTTGTTCCGAGTAGCTGAATCTATAACAACATCTTAAATACAGTAATACATAAAATTTTGATGCCAAAAAGCCCCACTGGCCAAAATATGATTTACTATAAATTATAGTGGCTCACAATCAATCATGTTTTCTATGCTAGGGTGACTTGGTTTGGTTAGGGTTAGATTGTGGTAGGTTAGGTTTATTTTTTTTTTTTTTGGTACACCATTTTATGTCCATTGTGGCTACTGGAGAGGGCTGCACAATCATATCCTCAGTAGAACAAATTCACAAGGGCTGTGAGATTCCAATTTGGATAGAATCTGATGCATCATATTATGCTTCTAGTTAATCAAGAAAATACAATATTGTACCACCGACCCTGATTTAGTGACTACAGTATATCCATAAAAATCTAGCTTTAGTTTACTTCTAAGTAATGCAGCATGGTCATGTAGTTTTGTCTACATACACTTTTGGATTAGCAGAGGCATCCTCTGTACTGGAGTGTACAACTCCCATTTGAACGATGAGCTACATCAGTGATTCTACCATTGATAATGTCAATTGTGTCACCAGAGAACAACTATCAAACTCTGTACAGCATATCAGTGAGTCTGATAAGCTCATTAAAAAATAGGCCAAGAAATATCTACCGTAAATGTTTTCACAACTGTGACACTGGTAGTGTCCAACTTAAAATGTACTGTATATATAATCTCTTAGCAAATTTTCTCTTATAAATAATCATATATACATCTGCACTTATGAACAGTAGAACATCAATCCTAGGAAGTCGGTTTTACGTACCTTGCAATTACATAATACTGTATGTATGCATGACTTGTGATACATCATGGCTATGTTTGGGACTCAATGGCTTGGACTCTCTTGGGGAGGGAGGGAAATATCAAGGGGAAAATGCCAGGCCATTATGACTTTACAGCCCTGAGAAGGGATCAAGATAAGGATTTTGGATGGGATAAGGAAGGGAATGGTGCCTGACCACTTGGACGGTCGGGGATTGAACGCTGACCTGCATGAAGCGAGACCGTTGCTCTACCCTTCAGCCCAAGTGGTTGGGCGGACTCTCTTGGGAACCATCCCTGTTGTGCTGTTCAGGATGCTTGACAGTCAATAACTTGCCCTTTCAATGAGCACCAGGTAACAGTATATGCTGGAAATTTGGAGGACTATGTGAACAAATGGTGAAACAGGAGCAGCGCAGTTTGACTTCAGTAGTGAAAAATGCTCAGATACCACTCTCTCTCTATGGTTAATCAGAGGTAATTTATCTGCTGGGTAATAACTACTGTATGAGAATGTAACATATACAAAAGCACTGGGAAGATGGGACACCTTAGCTCTCATCCTGTAACTACACTTGGTAATTACCAGTGTGCTCGGCTAATATTTAATCAGCCCACAAATATTCATGTACTTAATTACTAAGAACATACCAAAACTAATTATTGCCTACAAACCTTCTAAGTTCTTTACTAGCAAAAATCTGCAAACTGATTTATAATTAAACTTTGAAAAGTAAGATCATAACTAAAAAAAAAACTTGAACTTTACCATTGACAGAGATCTTGGCAGTTTTATTTCGATGTTTCTGGGTGATGTCTTCAGGTGGCTGGCCAGAGGTCTTTTCTAACGTGCAAAGCTCCCGAACCTCCCTGCCAAAAATTAGGAATTATTCTATGCTGCCTGAAGGACGCAACATTCAGATATATATGCATGTTATGTTGTGCAGGGAACCAGGTTTATTCTATAAATTCGTTAAAAACAAATTGTAGGAAACGGATAAAATTCAGAGGATGAAAATGGAGAACAGATTCACAGAGAATGAAAAGTAAATGTGTGAAATGCTAAATGAACTGTTCCAAAATGTGTGAGCAAAATGACGTTTTCAGATAACCGGACACAATACAAATCTCAAAACAACTTAAGAGTACATAGAGGTGTCTCAAGATAAAATGGAAAAAATGCTCAAGGAACTAAGTAGAAACAAAGCAGTTGCCCCAGATGGCATTTCACCATGGGTTATGAGAACGTGCATATGAGCTCAGCACAACACTTCAATTGATTTTTCAGTCATCTTTGCATACAGGAGTCTTGGCAGATATATGGAAAAAGGCTAACATAGTTTCAAGATACAAAAATGATAGCAGGGATGATTAGTTCTTCTTAATTAGAGACCTGTATCATTTATAAGCATAGGAGTCAAAACATTGGAACAAAATAATTAAAACCAAATGGGTAGAACACCTGGAGAGAAATGACACAATTACAGACAGTCAGTTTGGTTTTTGATCAGCAAGATCATGTGTAACAAATCTAGTTAGTTTCTACGACAGAGCCCCAGAGATTTTACAGGAAGAGAGGGTTGGGTTGACTGCATTTATCTGAACCTAAAAAATGGCTTTTAACAGAGTCCCACATAAGAGGTTGTTTTGGAAACTGGAACATGCTGGAAGAGCGAATGGGAACTTCTGACATGGCTGAAAAATTTTCTGACAGAAAAATGAGGGCAGTAATCAGAGACAATGTTTCAGACTGGAGAAGTGTTACATGTGGAGTACCAGAGGCTTCAGTTCTAGCACCAGTAATGTTCGCTGTCTATATAAACAATCTATCAGAAGGAAAACAGAATTATATGAACATGTTTGATAATGATAATGCCAAGCTACCAAGGATGCCAGAAACTTAAGATGATTGTCATGCCCTTCAAGAAATTGAATTGAAATTGAACTAAGTTTATTGAGGTAAAATACACACAAAGGGATGAAGTAGCTCAAGCTATTCTCACCCCGATCAGTACAATGTGTTCATAAATATATATACACACACACAATAAACATATTACCGAACATTCTGAGAGATAAACATATACATTTCTTCCTTTACACAAGGAGAATGGTATCAGACATACACACAAATACTAGGTATTTATGACTAGGTATGCCCTTCAAGAAGACCTGGACAAAATATGTGTATGAAGCAACACTTGGTAAATGAAAATTAATGTGAATAAATATCACATTATGGAATGTGGAATAGGAGAAAATACGTCATACAACCTATAAATTATGTAAAAAAGCTTTAAAGAATTCTGATAAAGATATCTAGGGTGGTTCTTGCTAAAAAAAAAAACCTGTCACCTAAGGATCACAAAGAACATAGTGAGAGAAGCATATGCTATGCTATCAAACTTTAAAAACATTTTTAAATACATGGATGGTGAAATATTAAAGAAATTGTTCACAACCATTGCGAGACTAAAGTTGGAATATGCAGTGGTTGTATGGTGCCAATATCTCAAAAAACACATGATTAAACTAGAAAAGGGCAAAACACACAACTAAATGGGTGCTGGAACTGACGCCACATGACCAAATGAGAAGACAGAAAACAGACAACAGACTATCATCCTCTCCCCACAGGGGCAAGGGCAGCTCCCAAGGCCAATGAGAAGCTAATAGGCAGTCTTTTGAGAGAAAAGGAATGCCAGTTCACATAGGAGGAGGAAGCCACCGACGAGGGCAGCACCACCGCCTGAGGCCCAGGCACCAAAGAATGCCCACATTGACCAGTAGTTAGCGACTCCCGAAAGATGCAGATCATTTATGACATACTCCGGATGAAAGTGAAATGCCAAGTGAGCCCCATGAAACTATGCCATGCCAACACACACAGGTGGCGAAGAAAAGCCCAAGACACAACCTGCACCTCCGGGGAAGGCACAGTCACCCAGTGGCACCTGCAGCCAAAGTAGCAAGACAATCTTGCAGGCAAGAAATAAACAAAAACTGCAAGGACCAGATGCAACCCACAGCAGTGAGCTGAAAACAAACCCCAAAGCCCTGCGGTGACGAGTGGAAAAGAAGACAGAACAGAGCTCCAAGTATGAGCAAAGAGCCTTTGCATTGAATAAATGATGCACCTCTACCAAATAAATTCGAGCTTTGTAGTTCACCACGAGACATTGTCTGAGGGAAGTTGCCATACCCTGACATTGCAGGAAAAGGAATGTGCAAACTAGGCACAATTGACCACTACAAAGGAAAAACATCAAGGACTGGGTCAGCTTCCTTCCACTTTAAGAACCGAGCACCATGGAAAAGTTGCCACCTATTAAAGGAAAACACTGAATTGTTTGTCAGTAACAATAAAATTGGGACAGTAACCAGGAAGTGGCAGTTGACCCAAACGAGTTCACATCGGAGCAGAAACTGAAGCAAGTCAAGCCGAGCCTAACTTTAAGAAGAAAACAAAACTGTGCAGCTGAGAAGGCATTAAGATTGTACTTGGAAGGGAAATATGAGAATATCCATCTGGAAGGGCAGCAGACCCACAGGCCTGGGTACTAGAGCCAAAAGAGGATCTAAGGGCATCCAAGGACAGTCTTCAGGAAGCTCCAAATCCCTGGAACCCTCCTGCATCATATTAGGAAGGACCAATATGAGAATCCACACCTTTCTTCTATAGCATTGCAATCATAAATTCTGAAAATAAACAAGCAATTTCAGTTATTAACTTTGAAATCTCTCAACAAACTCAAACAACATACTTTGGAAGGAGTGCAATTTTTTGTTCCATCATGTGTTCTAGTCGCAAACCCTTTTTAGAAATAGAGTTCGAAGGTCCATAATAACGATAAGCATTCTCTAGCATCGTCCGCAGGTCACCAATTAGCTCCGTCAGTGTGTGGTAGTTCCCAGCCAACAGATCCTCCTTAACTGTAAACAGAAAACAAAAAATGTAAATATTTTATGTGATGTGAATGTGTTATGTTATCACTTTCTGTTATATGAAAGTAACAAGTGATATTTAACAACTTGGATTCAAAGTTACAGTAAAAATCAATGAGAATTATATTGCTTAATAAATTTCATATTCTAAAATTTATGATAATACAAATAAATAAATAAATAAATATATATATATATATATATATATATATATATATATATATATATATATATATATATATATATATATATATATATATATATATATATATATATATATATCAACCCGTTCTCGCAAATTCGTAAAGTCAATATTGACTTATTAACTACGTGCATAAATGATATACTAAACATAATAGATACCCTTAAAAAGATTCATAGAAAACACCGACCTTACCTAACCTTGTTAGTATCTTAAGATAAGCATCTTATTGCTTTGTAATTACAATTATTACTTAACCTATACCTATTATAGGTTAAGTAATAATTGTAATTACGAAGCAATAAGATGTTTATCTTAACATACTAAGTAGGTTAGGTAAGGTTGGTGTTTTCTATGAATCTTTTTAAGGGTATCTATTATGTTAAGTATGTCACCTATGCACATATTTAATAAGTCAATATTGACTTATTAAATTTGCGAGAACGGGTTGATATATATATATATATATATATATATTATATATATGAATAAATTAATTTTGATAAATTGATTATGACTTAATAGGAGTATGAAATATTTCACCCGTTTGTAATGTTATACCAAAAAATTTCACCTGTTTGTGGTGTTATATCATAATATTTCACTCTATAACTTGCAACTTCTCTCATGTCCACTTACAAAGGTTAATTCTTCAATTTTAATATCAATTTGAAGTTCATCCTGAATATATGTATATAATACAATTAAGGAACACACTAAATTATTAATTTGGTTAATTACACCACTTGCACCTGGTGTAAAACCACAAAATGACCCCTGTTGACTAGAAGGCCTGGTCAACGACCAGACCGCGGGGATGCTAAGCTCCAAAAACACCTCAAGGTAACTCAAGATAACCCATCCACCTCTCACCAAACCAGGAAAAACTAAATTTGTTTTGTTCCATTTCTTGCTTTTTAATGCCAATGAATTTTCTATAAGACATTTTGAGCATTAAATAAATACAAACATATCTTCACCCTACTCACTTTTCTTAAGCCACAATGGTTTTTTCACAACTTCCAAGTAATCCTTATTTCTCTCCGGGTCCACCCCAACAGGTTCCATAAATGGGGTATTGCTGCCCTTCTGGTAATCCGACATCAGCTCACCCAAAATTCTGCAACAAATAAATTTATTAAAAATTGTTTTATGATTTTAACCACTGTACTGAATGGGTGTTTAAAAAATATTGCAGACTTTGAACAATAAAACATACAGTACTGTTTTTGCTGTTATTACACTATATACACCACACACACACGTTACATATGACTACATTTTTGTGCACCATAACGAACCACTAAGCTTGTTCGGTGGGCTCAAACACAGCATAACATCAACACACCAGTCAGCTGACAACCCCACATGACTTGACATACTTCCAATAATATGCGCATTGCTAACTCTAGGCACAGTGCTGCTATTATCATCAGCATCCTGGTCATTAAATCTTGAATAAGAATCATTTTCCACAAGTTTCTTCCAAAAGAGCACGAGGTTGTTTCATGATGAGTAGCTGCACGAAACACTAGCAGCGTGCTGTGGCTGTCTGCCTCGCACTGCGATCATCATAACTTGCATTGTGTTCACTGATGCCTGAACCTTATACATAGTCTTAATCATGATCAGGATTACCTATGGCACTACTGTATCATCGTAAAATAATCAGTTACTTATTTTATTCATCGCTGTCAAGTGGTGGTGTGGCCCCGAGTTGCATGGCAGTGCTGGGAACTCGTGCTGCATATCTGGAGCATACCTGGTGAGGGTTCTGAGAGTTCTTCTACGCCCCAAGCCCCACCTGAGGCCAGGCTCAACTTGTGATAACTTGGATAATTGGATATCCAAGTCCCACTTTGTCCTGCAGGCACACATGTCCACTACAGCCTGGTTGGTCCGCCACTTCTTGCAGTGCTACCCTTGGTCGCTCACTCAGTACTAAGGATCTCATGGCCAGGAGGGATGCAGACAAATATTTTCAAGATGGCATCTGTTTACTGGCGGCCTGAGAAACAGGATGTGAGCCCTGTGTACCCACACAAGTTTTGAATAGTTTGCTATACCTGTACCTACAAACAAGTTATCTTAGAGAGTGCACCGAATATTAAACAAGATAGCTTGTGAGTGTAGTACAGTAGTACAGGGGTTAATGCTTTCACAGCTATAAAGCTTTGCTCGATTCTATATTATTGTCAGCACTGTAATTAAAAAAAAATAAGGATGGTACAGTTTCAATGGCTAAAATCTCCGATTCAATTTAGTACTTTGACAAATTCTGTTATGACACGATAGGTGGTACCTGCTTGATGGGAGTTCTGGGAGTTCTTCTACTCCCAAAGCCCAGCCCGAGGCCAGGCTTGACTTGTGAGAGCTTGGTCCAACAGGTGGTAGTGTATAGAACTACAAACACAAAAAAATGCTCATGAGTAGCATGATCTGTTATGTGAACCCAAAAATGGTTCTTAAATGGCCTGGGCCTTTTGTTCCATATTGTTCTACTCATCACCATCCAAATCCTTCAAAATCCTTTTAATTTTGCATGGCATCAATAGTCTTCCATCTCCCACACAATCAGACGAATACTAATCACTCAAATAAATATATATCAAACAATATCATGAGTAGTGGAAAATTAATTTCAAAACAGCATTTAAAACAGCCAGCTGCAACAAATGTGAAATAACATAGAAGAAAAAGACTAACACAAATATTCATTCACTTGCAAGAAGTATAAGAAGCCTGTATCTTTTATTAAACAAACTTGTCACTTGCCTGTATCCTAAATTAAGCTCATCACTCAGGTGGTCCGTCTTTGCCTTGGTAACAACCCGTTTCTTAGGGGTAACAGGATGATGGACCAGGAGGCCACCCCCTTTGTGCACTAGACTGGAGGAAAAGGTCTGCAGTCGAGACATTCCACCTAGTGAGGTCTTACATGGGGAGAGGGACGGAGTGGAAGAACATGATGATGGTGATGAATTTGACCCACTTCGGAATGATTCATTAATAATGTCGCTCATGCCAGAGTAAAGTGACAATGATGAGTTTTTGCAGTCACCATCCTGCAAGAAATTAAACAATGTTTACATGGCAGCATGAAAATGACAAATAAATGGGTATAATGATTGTGGAAAGAAATATGGCTGGCAAAGATAAAGCTATATACACCTCAATATACAGACTTCCAGAACTAAGAAAATACCAATGCATAAGGAATAGTTCAAGTGACAGTTACAGTATTTAAAGATATTGTGTTACCTAAAATGGTATCATTAACCACTGCACTGCGCAAAGCGCCTTTAGGCGCTCAGAGAGTTGTGCTTTTTGTTTTTTAATTTGGCTATATTTTAATGTTTTTTAATGTTTTCATTACTATTTGTGTTTTGAAATGGAAATAGTTGACTTTGGAAACATTTTGACATTAAATTTACCTGAACATTTGTAAAAATAACAAAAATATGTCCTTGTCAATTGCACCAAGACGTTTTTGCCGAAAATAGGTGAGCAGTGCAAGGGTTAATCAGATCACATTATTTATACTGTACTAAATAGAACTAGAAGTGATAAAATGAAATACTTCTTTTCACCTTTTTCTCTTCATTTTTCCCAAATGAAGTTTGTGCCTCTTCATTCTTGACCGCGTTATCAAGTTTTTGGAGTTCTTCTTCAGATTCCATCTCTTCATCCCCACTACCTTCCACACCATTATAATCATCCTCATCACTGAATTCTTCACCAACATCCATCACTTCCTGCAAAAATTATGAAACAGACTTGACATTTAGCTGGTTACTGATGGACAATTGGGAAAGGCATCTCTCTCTTCTCCTCTTAAAGGGTCATCCTAAGTTAAATGTCATTTTGTGATATATTCTAGATCAAGTGTTAAAAGTTCAGCTAGAAGAGAATTGCAACTCAAAATCTTTTTATGTAAACAAAGAATATTTTTCTTAAATTTGTATTTATGATATGAAACTTTATTACGTAACATAGGTTAACTTATAGAAGGTAGAAAGTTGCCACAGGCTGTCAAGTTCCTTGTGCTCCTTGGATAATGGGCAAGAACTATAAATGCAGTGCACATTTCCCCTCTGTATTGCCACACTGAGGCACTGGAAAAGGAAGCTGGTACCTCAAGAGTCCCTTGTTGTTCAGTGAGTTTAGAACCCAGACCCTTCAATATACTGTATTGTGTACATTTAAGACTGTGCAGAGGATAAGTCACAATAACATGATTGTAAACACACATCCTAACCTATAGCATCACTGAATATTTTACTATAGCATAAATAACGAAGTGCTAAGATACCTCTGACACCCGATAATATAACAATGTTTACCTGTTTAAGTTTTTGATGTTCCCTATAGCTTGAAATGAGGTTGGCATCACAAAATGGTTGTGCTTCAGTTTCCGGCGATGACTGTAGCGAGCAACTCTCTGCCACCTTGTCAGATTTCTCCTCAGATGATTTTGTAGATTCCTGGCCATTTTGTTCCAAGTGAGTGGCTACGAATATAGTGTTATTGCATCCCGTGCCAATGTCATCTAATTCCCTTTCATTAGTTGAACAAATGTCCCCAGTAATAAACTCAGTGTCCTCCATGATGGACCTTCACATTATGCATTTCAGCTAACCAGGACAGAGGTCAATTCTGCAATGTTAATTGATTTTAATATTAAATACTATGTAAACACATTTTCTCAAACCTGTGTGTCATATGTCTCATATTTCTGACGTAAGTTACAATACAGTATATTTAGACAGGCATAAAAAGAAGCATGTCAATGTCAATTTAGAGGTACAGGAAAATATACTGTAAAACTTCCATTATAGACAAGCCTGTAAGCTACAAAATTTACCCACTAAGTTTTTAACTAATTTTTGTTAATGAATACATTACGTTTATGTACAACCATCTTCCGAGATGTTAAGGCATTCATCCATCTTTACGCTGACAATGCATCAATTCCTCAACCTTGACAAATACAGTACGTACTATACAGTACTTAATTTTTTAGCACATCATGACTCCAAAATAAATTCTTGGAAAAGGCCAATTTCCGAGTTTTTCATTTCTCCATAAGGCAATATCACTGAAACATACCATTAGACAAGCTTATGATGGTTATGACAGGGTGTCACTCTGTACTGCCATAATAGAGATCATTTCAAATGTCTTTTATATTGGAGCCAAACTAGGGCAGCACAGGAGAAAAGCTTGAAACACACTAGTGATTATACTGCACAGAAATTTGACTCAAACACTCAAAAACCTTTGCAAGTAAACTGCCAGTTGCCCCGTCTGGCTACCACCAGATAGCAGCACCCACACCACAGTCAGGTTCCCTGCCTTGAGCCCATCACAGTTTCCTGATTGGTGCTTATGACAGCTGCGCACACTCGATCCAGTTAAGTGCCTTGTTTTCATCTTCATTTTCCTCCTGGAGACCACCTGTCAGCCTGGCTTGCCTACCACCTACAGTTGGTTCTAGGGCCAAGTCGCCTCTGGTGTTAAGTTTCTCCAGAACATCCACAGCTAGCTGAACTTTACTCATGTTTTGTATTCACAGGGCATGTCTTGCTGAAGGCACTGATTAAGTTCCTCTATTTTTATGCTCATTATCATTTATAAGAACACCATGTTTGATCTTTCATGGCCTTGAGTAATCTTATTCTTGTTGCAAATTTCTTTGAAAATTGTTCAGGATTTGGGCCCTTAAAGGCCCACCCACTTCCTTCTCTTAAGATATCATCCAAGATTTCCAGTGCTGGTTGGAGCTCATGTTAATGTTCAGGAAATGGTGGAAACTTAAGCACATCCTTCTCATAAAAGGATTAGCCTTCCTTCTCAGCTCCAGCATCGACCAGAGTGGATCTGTCAAGTTCTTTCCATTGTGGCATTGGACGTTGGCTGTAGCTTCTCTTGCCTTCTTGGGCTTCAAACCTCAAAGGGTCCACAGTGAAGAGGTGTCAAATGTGCTGCCAGACAACCTCTCTCAGTTTTGTTCAGTGAAGATGGAGTCAGAGATAGACAAGGCCTTCTTTCTGAGGATATGAGACATGTTTGACATTCCCCAGTGGGATCTCTGCATTCAAGCGTACCTAGAAACTCCCTATATATGTGAAAATTCCACGATTGCAATGCCACTGTGTTGGAAGCTGTCTTGATTGGAACAAGTAGGAGACAATTTACCTGTAACTTCCAGTCCAAATCTTGTTTATTTGTCCTGCTGAAGCTGGAGAACTTTGTGATCGGTGTCGTCTAGCTGGCTCTATTCTTTCTAGTTCAGCTCTGTTACCAGCCTGTCTCCTCATACACACGACTAGCCGCAGTGTTACACAAACCCTTCCAGAACCTCTTTTGATCTTTGTGCCAAGCTTCTCGAGAGGATCTATCACATGTCTATAGATCTCCTATCTTAAGTGTGGTGGCTTGACAGGCCATCCAGCATTACAATGCTCTCTGTCCAGTACTTTTTTTTCTTTTTTTTTTCTTTTTGAGATATATACAAGAGTTGTTATATTCTTGTACAGCCACTAGTACGTGTAGCGTTTCGGGCAGGTCCCTGGAATACGATTCCCGCCGCGAAGAATCGTTTTTTTCATCCAAGTACACATTTTACTGTTGTGTTAAACAGAGGCTACAGTTAAGGAATTGTGCCCAGTAAATCCTCCCCGGCCAGGATACGAACCCATGACATAGCGCTCGCGGAATGCCAGGCGAGTGTACTGTACTATGACATTTCTTCTCTCAGAAAATGGAAGCTCATACCTAATAGAACTGCTTCCTATTGAGCTACTCTGGTATTCTCTCTTCCCCTCAGTTTTGACCTTGATCTTTCAAGTCTCTTTCCACCTTCCTCTCCCACTCTAAGCTTGATAAGGTCTCGTCTCACATCCATCCTTAACTTGTCACTAGAGCCTACAGGGTGTTTTGACAGGTGGGCTAACTATGTGAGCTTGAGTTGGTGAACTTTATGCACTACTCAGTTGTAACTTGGATAAATTTTTACCACTTCCTGTAGAGTGGGGGACCTTCAGTATCTGTAGTGTTCTAGTACTGTACCACAATTCAACCATATACAACTTACAGTGAAGTGCAACACACCTAGACATTGACTTTTTTTAGAGCTATGGCTCCTCTCCACTGCCAGTCATGTGTTCGGCTCACCACTTTACAGTATTTAATTAAATTTCTGCTCTCTATATTTCATGTTTTTCAGCTTCTCTTTAGTTGTCATTTAGAATTTGCCTTGTTATTTAGCATAGCATTTATGTTTGTTGTTCTTTACCAATATTTATTATTTATTTTTTAGTAGCACAGCCAGTGAGGCCAGTGACTTTCAACTGTTGGTTCAGAAAGATAATGTTAACATCAAACATTTAAGTCTTTTTCAGTCTGAATTATAAATTATTCATATGACACACTATTAAACAATACAGTAAATCCACCATCAACTAAATGAGTCATGTAACTAAGCACTCATATACAGTAAACAAAGATAACATAACATAAATGAATATAAACAGGCAATACCCCTTAGAATGTCGGTTTACTAAAACTTTATACGAGTGTGTTCTACTAGGCTTATACCAAAGTAGTATCACTGTCATCTAAGTGATGTACCTGTTTGATACCTGCCTGATAGGGTCTCTCACGTCAAGCCCGGCCCGAGGCCAGGCTTGACTTGTGAGAGCTTGGTCCAACAGGTTGTTGCTTGGAGCAACCCACAGGTCCACGTATACACCACAGCCAGGTTGGTCCAGCACTTCTTGAAGAAAACTATCTAGTTTTCTCTTGATGTTCACAACTGTTCCGGTAATATTTCTTATACTCGTTGGGAGGATGTCGAACAACCGTGGACCTCTGATGTTTATACAGTGTTCTCTGAGCTTATGGCACCCCTGCAATTCATTGGTTCTATTCTGCATTTTATTCCATGTCGTTCACTCCAGTAAGTTGTTATTTTACTCTGTAGATTTGGTACCTTGCCCTCCAGTATTTTCCACATGTACAGTATATTATTTGATATTTCTCTCTTCTCCTTTCTAGTTAGTACATTTGGAGAGCTTTGAAACAATCCCAATAGTTTAGGTGCTTTATCATGTCTATGTATGCCGTGTATGTTCTCTGAACTCCCTCTATTTCAGCAATCTCTCCTGCTCTGAAGGGGGAAGTGAGTACTGAGCAGTACTCAAGATGAGACAGCACAAGTGATTTGAATAGTACAACCATTGTGATGGAATCCCTGGATTTGAAAGTTCTCATAATCCATCCTATAATTTTTCTGGCTGACGCAATATTTGCTTTTTTATGCTTCCTAAATGTTGGGTCATCAAACATCATTATTCCCAAATATTTGACATGCTGTTTTCCTACTATGGGCAAAGCTGACTGTGTTTTCTACCCTGTACTGTATTATGTTTAATGTCCTCATTTTTACCGTACCTCAGTACCTGGAATTTATTACTGTTAAAATCATGTTATTTTCTTCTGCCCAGTTAAAAACTTTATTAATATCTGCTTGTAGTTCAATGTCTTCAGCAGAGGTAATTTTCATTCTGATTTTTGTGTCATCTGCAATGGATGATACGAAGCTGTGACTTACCTTTTTGTCTATATCTGATATTAGTATAAAGAAAAACAGTGGTGCAAGGACTGTACCCTGAGGTACAGAGCCTTTAACCACTGCACTGCACCAAACACATGCTGTTTTGAGAGTTGTCCGTTTTTTTTTTTAATTAGGCTATATTTTTCATATTTTTTAATGTTTTCATCACTGTATTTTGAAATGAAAATAGTTGAGTTTGGATACATTTTGACATTAACTTTACCTGAACGTTTATAAAAAACAACAAAAATGTCCTTAAAAATTGCACTATGAAGTTTTTGCTAAAAACAGGTGCGCAATGCAGGGGTTAACTGCACTTTGACTTGATTTTATATGGTTGACTGTTACTCTTTGTGTTCTGTTCGACAGAAAACTGAGTATCCACCAACCTACTTTACCAGTTATTCCCACTAACCTCATTTTGTGTACTATCACTGCATGGTCACATTTATCAAATGCCTTTGCAAAGTCTATGTATACTACATCTACATTCTGTTTTTCTTGCAATGCCTCAGTGATATGAGGGCAAACTTTGCACAATTATTAAAATTTCATAGACTTTATGTTCTACAGACACTTTAAAAATGATAAAAAACTTGCTTAGCAGCAGACTGTAGAGACTGCAGCCCATCCTTCGAATAGATAGTAGGTTTTAATACTAAATGTAATACGTAAGTACTTTCCTGACTATCGGCATTGTACATAAATACACTTAATCGCCAGCATCGCACCAAAATATTGTGAATATTAGAGTTTACCTGAAAAGCTGTATAGAAAATCACGACCACAGACAACCTTGGGAGTGTAGGATGACAAGCATGTAAATAGCATTTATTGCTTCTTAATTACAGTTAGTACTTAACCTATAGCTATAGTGATATTTTATAAAACTAATAAAACAAAACTAAAGTCTTTCAATAAATTATAAAGTAACTCAGGATATTTTCAAATTTTGTATAAAATCTCTTTTGTTTAATAAAACTGAAAAAGAAATTCTTTATATTTAAAACTTGTGTATATAGAATTGAACACAAAAACTTCAACCTAAAAATTTTGAGTGTATTACAGTAACACAAAATTGGGAGAATATATGGGGAGGTAAATGTAAGGGCACAATTAAGTGTACTGTATTTATGTACTATGCAGACAGTCTGGAATGTACTTATTACATTTAGTATTAAAACGTATGGTCTATTTGAAGGAAGGGTTGTGTATACTTATTACATCCACATTTGATGCAGTTCCTTGTTTTAAAGTCTACTTTCTCTGCCTCTGTTGCTTTCTGCCAAACGTTTTTTTTTTTTTGTGGGGTTGGGGGGGGGGGGGCTAGGGGCTAATGTGGCCTTAATAGGCAAGGTTAAGTTACAATATATTAAGTTTGGTTAAGTTATGACACATTAGATAAGGTTAGGCTATGTGTGGTTATCACACTTTAGATAAGGTTAGGCTATGTGTGGTTAAGTTATAACAGAATAACGTATATACTGTAGTTAGATTCAGTTAGGTCTGTTGAGGTGCAGTCAGCTGACTCATCACTGCTATTATTTTACTACAGTATTGCCTTTACCACTTTATTATCACTCTGCATATAGTATCACAGTGTATGAAACACTTGGCCCTAGAATTACCATTACACAACCTGCATATAGTAATCAACCTCTCTTCTTTCTTTCTCTCTCTTTTTTTTTTTTTCTTGAGGACAAAGCACAGCATAAAAATGCATATGCCTCATCAAAGCAACCAAATTGGATATGCATTAAATAGTTTTTTGTCTAAGTTTATTTCATTATTTGAATGGATGAGGTTTTTCAGGTCCAGTTGCCACTTTTGTATTTTCCAATTTAAAAAAAAAAATACTATCCTAGTATATTCCACCCAATCCCATACCTGACCAAGAATAATCATGCCTAGCTTAACATATCCTACGTAGGCATTATACAGGGCATAAAGTATTGTGTAAAGCATTGTATGTTCTGAAATGAACTTCAGTATTTTTTCAATTATAGCCTATCAAGGTAGATCTGTATTACAAACAATATAATGAATACACTGTACTCCTAAAAGCAAAACTGCCTTCCTTCTTTACATATAGTTACATTAATGGAAAGGAAGCAAATTTTCAGGGGAAAGCACCAAGCCATAATAACAATATAGCACTTGGAAGGGGTCAAGATAAGGATTTTGGATGGGATGGAGGGAAGGAATGGTGTCCAACAACTTGGAATGTATTATTATTAGAGTACAGTACTGTATGGGCATATACTGCACACACATCACCTTTTCAGGGTTAATACCTTGAAAATACCCAGAACTTAGGTCTGGCTTGGTTTCCTAGGATTAAGTTAAATGGAGAACAGGTTATTGACTTCCTGCTCCTATTTCTTCCTAACTTGATTATTTATGCGTAATAAATTATTTTACTAATGCTAAGGTAAAACTAAACCTTACATGTTGTACCAACTTCCCCTAACATTTTCTCTGAGCACTATAATTTTGCATATTTTCAGCGAAATGCACACCAAAATTTCTTCGTATTTGCAGAGGGAACATTCATCCAGCAATCATTTGAGATGCCTTTTATTTGGTGGTTTATTTTTGTAGGTGTCATAGAGAAGCTGAGTGTGACTAAGATGTCTAGGAAAATCTTTGGATAGGTGGGCTTTGTGGGTAAAACTGTATGTATGGTTGATCAGATGGCAGCCAATTATTGAGAGCCTAATCATCAATTCTTAAGTTTATGGGAATGCAATTTGATATTGGTCAGTAAAGCGATGGCCTCGCTTCTTGCAGATTAGCCTTCTATCCCTGATTGTCCAAGTGGTCTGGTCCCGTTCCTTAACTCTATCCTCATGTTTCAGCTCCTTGTACTCATATCTCTTCCAAAATACTCAACACAAGTTATATTGGATTAGTGCTTTCTCCTGATTATTTATTGACGTTATCCAAGTGCTGGAAAACACCATGCCTACAAGCCTCAAATAACGTATTATTTGACTTTATTGTATTTATTGACATGGATATAAATACATAGAAGATGCCTCATACAGACCAATAGGCCACCTGCTGTTACCTTCATTCTCATGTTCTTATTCATAAATAAATTTAATGTAATTAACTTTATCTAACCTTTGTGAATAAGACATGAATTAGAACTATATAAATAGGCTTTGGAATCCACATTTTTTCACCCAAGAGAATATGGGAGACGAGTACAGCATAGTGGTGTGTACATCGGTGAGCAAGAACCCGCTGTTCAAACCCCACCACCAGAGGTATTCAGTTGTGTGCATACAGCCAATACCATGCCTGAGCTCTCACTCAAAAATATCTAATATTTCATCCACGTAAAAATTATTTTTAATACAGGTACTTGGATATTCATTTTCAAAATATATAGGTAACATTACTTGTGTGCAAATTAAGTAGACTAATAATATACCTCACTTGCACCGCAAGCAATTAATTAATTTAAAAGCTGTAGATTATGCCTGAACATAATTTACTTAATTTGTATCATATATTGTCAAAAGTTTGCCTTGGGGAAAAAAAACTTAAAATAACAGAGAAGCTTTACATACCAAAGTGGAGCAAGAAAATAATTTAAAAACTTGATATGAAAAAGCCTACAGCATCCAGTGAGCTCATCCCAGGTGCCTCATGATGCCACATTACACCCCTCCCATAACTTCACCAACAAGCTATCATCACAGACATTTCAATCATGGTGTTTAAATGAGTCTATTAACCCCACTACTTAAATGCCTACAAACACGAAAAAAGGGACAAAGGGTGGGCCAACGAGAGCCAGGAAGAGGGGTTGACCTGCCACGGGGGTTGACCTGGCCCCCCGGGGGTGACCCCCCAGCTGACCCAGCACGCGGTCACCTGCCACTGTTACGTCACTCATTCATCCCAGTCAGCTGTTTCTTGTTTACACTCCTTCGCTAACTTCAAAATGAGTAGAGGCTCGTGTGGGCCCCCGCAAGCTTTCACACACAACCCATCCACGACAACTCACGCAATTAACGTGTCCTCGCGTCCATGTGGGCGCGGGCGGTATCGGGGGCTCCCGCGGCCCTCCCGGAGGCTCCTACACACGCCCAAACTTCACAAATCGGCCAATCTCTCGTTCCTTTGAGCGTGAAGTTGCACAAGACCGAAAACGGTGGGCTTGTTTTGGCTACACAACTTCTTCCGCGATCACATACATTGACTCACTTGCCCAACTCTCGCCTAGTCTCAAAAATGGCATTGCAAAAAGGCTTCTCGTATTATTTGACGCTAGAATAAAATATTTTGAAGGGGAAAAAAGAGCAATAAATTATAATTAAATTATTTAATGTAGAACTACTTTGATGAGCGAATGAGAAACCCTGGAGATGCAAGGCGGGAAGGCGGCCCTGAGAGGCAAAGCGGGAACTTTAATTTATTAATTTATTAGCTGTTAAAGAGCCATTCAAGCGGAAAAGTCGTGGTTTAAAACACTCTGGTTAATGAAGTGAGAATGGTGGTCATTTAAAGGGTTTTAAATAACTTCTATATTTCGCGAGAATAAAAATCACTGACCGTCATTGGTAGAGCTGTCATGGAGGACCAATAAGCTCAACTATCTTTCCAAGATTGATTAAAATAAGTTTTTCCTTGTATATATTGAATTAAAACAATGAATTTAAGATAAAATTAACAATAAATAAAGAAATCTTCAAATCTGTAAGATAAAACTGCACAAACGTCGACTATTATATATCCTAACAAATCTGGCTTTAACTCATCCACAAAATAACTCATTCCCGTTACACAAATCCACCAAAAACCAGCTAATGTTACCATCACAATTTTCCGGAACAGAAGAAGGAATAGTAAGAGGGAGAGGGAGAGGGAGAGAGAGGCATGAGAGGGCAGGAAAGACCAGCCACCATAAGCCAGGGAAGGGTAGTTGAACCTCCCCTAAGGGGGGAATACTCCAGTGGCTCTAATGTTCCATTGGTTGTGTTATTCGGCTTTTTGAAGCAGGAGGTGGAGCAGGGACGCTCTCTCTCACTCTCTCTCACTCTCCCTCACTCACTCTCACTCACTCTCCCTCACTCTCCCTCACTCTCACTCCACCAGCGCCCTCACTGCTACATATGGCAAGTTACAGTTTGCGCTTCCTATTGTGTAACAAGTCAATTATTAGCACAAGATCCCGTTTATTCTCCCGGGAAATAATAATATAAATAATAATTCATATGCACTTAATTACTAAAGTGTATATTATTATAAATATGTCAATTATATTATTATATTTATCAATATAAAACTATTAGCTTAAGAATAAGCATAATAAACTTAGTAATATATAATACCTTGATGTGACTTATAAAATAGATTATGAAATAAAAATGTTAATAATCGAAAGTTGAATGTATAAATAATAAGTGATTTTTTTTAATGGTTGTTAAATGTTTTAAAAAGTGGAAAAAAAGATGGTAATATAGTGAAAATGAGATAAATGAGAGGAAGAGAAGAAGGACTATAGGAACGTGTGGTTAATTACTCTGGGTCAGTCTGATGGCCTCGTCCAGAGGAGGTGGTTGATAATCTCTCTATTTCCTGTGTTACATCAAGACTTACAGGTGTGTGTGTGTGTAACGAGGTGATTAGGTGGTACTGTGCCTTGTTATATGTCAGCAGATAAGACATGTGTTAGAGGAATATCATACCACCAACTGCTGGTATATTTTTGGGGGACCTGAATTTTAATGACTTGGGGGATTATATAATTAAGATCGTATCTTCCTAGTGACACATCAACAAAAATTATGCTGTATGAGATATGTTGAAAGTTTTACCGAGGAAATATCTTATTTTTTATATTTTTTTTAAAGAAGACATATGTATTTTTGGGGGTTTAAAGAGGCAGTATGTGTGTGATGGAGGCCTATAAGCCTACATTGCTCTGTGATAGGCCGTGTGAGAGGCCTATATTAGGCCTCTAGTATAGGCCTATAGATTGCTCACTAGGCTGCTGATCCTTCACATATATATTTGACCACTAATAAGTTAATACTAATTAAAACCCTTCTATCCCTGAGGCCAGAGATTATATTTTTGAAACATTTCCTGTATGTATATCTCTCCTCTACATTATTCAGTTGACTTAAAGTTCTTGAGATACCACAGAGCCATATATATATATATACATATGTTCTCTAGGTCTGTTTAATTGCTAACTTGCTCATTTAAACAGGCTAATTTGGCTGAGAATCCAGTTCCTAAACTCATATAATTACACTTTCCCAAGTGTAATTACTGTACATAATGTACACCAAGAGTTCATAAAGTACAATGTCAAAGTTTAATATTTATTTTAATGTGTTTGTTCAGTGGTCAGGACTAATGTATTCACAAGGATTACAACAGCATAAGCTATATATTTAATATTTAATTATCATGTAGTACTATATATTACATTTGATTTTGATTGTTACTTTAATATGTACTGTAAATGATACTCAATCTGTGAATGGTAGTGGACACTCTACCCATCCTATGAGTGGTAGTGAAAGTCTCCCCCCATACCCCATCCTGTGAGTTGCAGTGGAGCCCACACCCATTCTATAAGTAGCACAGAACCCCATACCCCATCCTGTAAGTGATAGTGGAGACACACCCATCCTATAAGTGGCACAGCACAGAACCCCATACCCCATTCTGTGAGTGATAATGGAGCCCGCACCCATCCTGTAAGTGGCACAGAACCCCATACCCCATCCTGTAAGTGATAGTGGAGACACACCCATCCTATAAGTGGCACAGAAACCCCATACCCCATCCTGTGAGTGATAGTGGAGCCCACACCCATCCTGTAAGTGGCACAGAACCCCCATACCCCATCCTGTGAGTGATAGTGGAGCCCACACCCATCCTGTAAGTGGCACAGAACCCCCATACCCCATCCTGTGAGTGATAGTGGAGCCCACACCCATCTTGTGGAGGACAGTATAAAAGGTTACAGATGCACAGAGGCTCGGGAACACAACCCCCCAAAAGTCATTTAGCTAAGCAAGTTTCAAACCAATAAGTGAGTTATTTGAGTGTCTGTGTGTGTGATTTTTCACCTACTGCACAGTACGTATATAACAGTTTAGTGATGTATGTCACCAAGGTATAATGTATGGAGTACAGTTTTATACAATACAATATATTCTGTAAATCCTATATAATGCTTAATAAGATAAAGAAATTAGATCATCAACAGTAATGGGAATGGGGGGAAGGTTACTTCCTAACTTACTAGATGATGGTCAGGGGAGGTGTGGACCAATTATATAAGCAATCTATAGCAAATAATCATCATTACGGGCTATTCATGTCCGCGCCACCTCTTGGGTGGCTTAATCTTTATCAGTCGAATACATACACATACAGCCTCACTCCTGTGCCAGGGAAGTCCACTACTGGCTCACCATAGTCCGTGGTACTTGCAACTTTTGTTCCGAGTAGCTAAATCTAAAACAACAACATGAATAACTATATTATGGGCTATTCATGCCTGTGCAACCTCCGGGGTGGCTTAATCTTTATCAATCGATTAACCATAAGTCTAACTCCAAGAGTGGTTCAGTAAAGACGCTTGAGAGATACCTCGCATCTTCAACATTCACCAACAACAATGTAACACTCGGCAGGTCCAGTTCTTACCCTCACAAGAGGGTATCCTTCAACTTACCCTTACCCTTCAGCTTACCCTTACCCTTCAGCTTCCCCTTACCCTTCAGCTTCCACACACAGCAGACTAGTAGGTTAAAAAGTAGTGTTAACTGTAATTAGGAAAGCGTTATGAATTTGTCATTAGTGGACTAAGTAGAATTAACAAATCCATCTCATTATCTGCACATAAGCTTAGGAGCAAGTATATTACTGACATAAGTATATTACAATAGGAGTAATATATATTAATATATATAGGAGTAATATATATACTTGCTCTTATATATTACAATATATAGGAGCAAGTATATTACTGATATAATATACTTGCTACAATGACATAAAATTAAAGTCCGGAAATAGGGTAACTCTCCAAAAAGAAATAAAGAATTGAATAAGTCACTTAATTAAAACACATTAACAAGCATCTAATTGTCTACCATTTTGTATCCTTCATACATACTGTATAATATATCCAAAACACTACTGTATTAACTATTCATCCTCACCCTTGCTTTTTGAAGTCTGGTAATAACTTGTGTATTACACTTGCTTAGTGCCAACAGCATAGAGCCACATCAGCATGTATATAAATCTTACAAATTTACTTGCGATTCTCTCAATCTATAAAGTTAACTATATCTCCAGTGTTATTATTGCCATTATATACTGTACTTTGCTTAAATATTACTGTACAGTATATAAATTGATGAAAGGGAGTATAAAGTACAAAGGGAATATAAACAAGGTTTTATATATATCAACACAAAATAGAACATAAAACAATGTATATAAATTGGAGAAGTATAGATTCATTAAAAATATTATTTATAAATAAACCATATAACATTATCACATGCATTCTTTAAAAATATTGTACAGCAAAAATGTTTGTGTTCATCTTTAATACAAAATGTTTATGCTTTAATGACATATAAAACACATTGTTTTAATTCAACGTTAAATTTACTTTCCAGTGTGATGGCCACCCGTGGAAGGCCACGAGGTGCTAACCGAGGGCGAGGCCGAGGGAGTAGAACAGTTGACCCATCCTTCAAGTACACACTGAGTCGTGGGGTAAGTCGTAATATTACTCCAAGATGGCCACCTGGTACGGCACATTTGTCTTTGTAGTATGTGTGCTATGACTTCTTCTACATGTTTTCCCACATAGTATGATAACAGCTTCCTTTGTTGATTGAAGATCAAGTTTTCTTTTAAATCTTCTCATAATTATTATATTTTTATAAAATTAAGTGTCAAAGTAGTAATATTGCCTTTTCTGGTTGGCCAATCAGGAGCTTTCTGAACTGTTACAATGGAGCTTCCAATCCTAGGGATATGCATCAGGGATCTGTGAACAGCTGAGCCTACTGGAAATGAGTATCAAAATCTGACTGCATATCTCTATGGGATGAGGAGGACTGGGTATTATATAACGACCGAAAACTGAGAAAAAAACTCGCTAGAAATAATAGATATATTAAAACAAGCAACTGTTTGAAGGGAAATG